TGGCTTGTAACGTCAAGAAAGCAACATCACTTACCGAATAATTGTTTTTTTTTTCTTTGTCGGCAAGCAGTTGTTTCAGAAAAACGCCCACCTGACAAGTCGCTGCATCTATTTGCCCTTTTCGTGTGCGTAATTCTTTCGTATGCGCAGTTCCTTTCAGAAAAGAATCTATAGATGGCTGTAAAGGATTTATTATGAATAACGAAGAAGTTTATTACTCCTTGCCGCGTGATTACTTGCTAAAATATGTTAAATAGACGTAGCCACAAGGGCCGAGCCAATTCATACATAGGGTATATTAACATGCAGGGTGGCAGGAACAGGCTAAAGTGGGAAGAGATAGAAAAACAGGTAAGGGAGGGGAGGCGATGGTATACGGTTTTTTATAAACACATCTTAGGAGCATGGAATAACCTCCAAACAATCCGGACTACAGGTGGGAATATTGTAATAGAACAGAAGGCAGCAGAAAGTGGTGTGGTATTGGGGCATTCATTCATAAAAGTACAGACTGGCAAAGGGTCAAGCAGGAGTGCAAGGAATGGCTAAAATGGGAGGGGGCAGGACAAATGTCACTCCTTAGTTTGGTGTATTTGACACGGGAGCAAAGGCCAGAGAGGAAAACCAGGCAATGGTAGACTATATCAAAGGACGTTGAGGAATTAGGAGAAGAGTGCGAGATAATTATAGTAGGAGATATGGATCCGTACATAGAAGATATAGATCGGTATACCAACCCAACAGGCAAAATGACCATGGATATGTGTGAAAAGCATTACTTGATCATTTGCAACAGTACCGAGAAGTGTGAAGGGCAAATAACATGGGAGGTAGGAAGGCTGCAGTCGACGATAGATTACGCACTGATGTCACATAGGATGTATGATAGGCTCAGGGTAATGCACCTATAGATGAATGTGGCTCCAGAAGTTTGGGTAGTGATCACAAACGTATCAAGCTATAAGTTTTGGAAGAGCAGTGAAAGTGGGAAGGGAACAAGATGAGCAACTACAGGAAAATTTTTATTCAGAAAGGCAAATAGAAATAGCTACTAAACAAATTCAGAAAGGGATCACTGAGAATAATAAAACAGTGTGGGCATACACGAATCTAATTAGGCTGTTTGGGCTAGAGCTTGCTAAGGCATGTGACAAGTCACCTCGGAAAAGAAGACACAAACCCAAGAGTTAGTGGGAGGAGGAAGTTAAGAGAGCCATATCAAAACGTCAGGAAGCCTCTAGGGAACACGTACATGCTAAGCAGCGCGGTGAACCGACAGTGATGTTGAAAGAAAATGGGAAATCTTTGTAAGCTGTAGAAGGGAAGCATCCTTTCTGATCAATGAAAAGATTAGAAGAAAGGGGGCTCCGTGGCTGGCAGAAGTACATAAAAATGATAGAAAATAGCTGCGAAATTTCGGAACCATTTAAACTCCCTAAGAAATGAGGCGAGCCTAGAGCAGGTTTATAACTACAGCTAAACGTAGTAGGCCACAAGGGGACGAAGCTATTGAATATATAAGAACAAGGGTGACAGAAAATTTTCAACAAAGAAGTGACCTATGCACCACAATAGACAAGGATGAATCAAGTGGCGCAATGGCTCTATTTTCACAACGAGAGTGGGAAATGGCTGAGGAGAGGGTTCCTAGTAGTACATCGACAGGCCCAGGTGGCATTCCATTTATGCTGATAAAGACATTGGGTTTGAGTCTAAGCAGACTTTGTGAGAGGTACTGAGCAAAATAATAATTAATGGTGAAGTCCCTGATGGATGGAAACTTAGCAGGATGAGCATGATCTATAAAGAAAAGGGGGGCAAAGCTGACATAAAACACTACCGTCCTGTAACAGTGACATCAGTGGTCTACAGGCTGGCGATGTAGGTTATAAAGGAAAGACTGCAGGCATGAATAGAGGATGAGGGGTGCTGGGGTAACTACAGAATTGGTTTCGGAAACACAGGAGGTTGGATGACAACCTGTGCTCAGTGACGTAGTGCATCGATATAGCAGAAAAGGAACACAGCTCTCTGTGGCTAGCAATTTTGTATATCAATGAAGCGTTCAATAGCGTGGTTCAAGAGGATTTGTGGGGAATACTGGACACACTAGCTGTTGAAGATGGAGTCATTAATATTTTAAAGGATATCTATAAAGATAACAAGGTAGTTATAAAGTGGGAATAACAGGTATCCAAGCCCGCATAGGTAAAACGGGGGCTTAGGCAGGGGTGTCCTCTGTCACCCTTGTTATTCATGATGTACCTACAAGGACTAGAGGCCAAATTAGAGGGAAGTGGACTTGGCTTCAACCTCTCTTTCGTCAAACAAGGAAAACTCATTGAACAGGCACTACCAGCATTGATGTACGCAGATGATATAGCGCTAATAGCTGAACACAAGAAAGATCTGCAACGATTAATAGACATCTGTGGTAATGAGGAAGATATGGGTTAGATTTCAGATTCAGCAAGGAAAAATCAGCAGTCATGATTTTTAATGATAATGAAGGTAGTGAGCTTAAAATACAGGAGGTCACGCTAGAAATAACAGATAAATACAAATATCTGGGCGTATGGATAAGCAATGGGACCGAGTAACTAAGAGAACACGAAATATGCGTGACGACTAAAGGTAACAGGAATGCAGCAGTGATGAAAAAAAATTGCCCGCAGCTTCCCTCGGGGGAACACTGAGGAGGATGCGGACCATATAATTGGTTAACGGGGTGTTAAAGTGCGACTTACTTGGGTCGATGGCTAAATTGGTTAACGTGGTTGTAGGAGGGGGTGTTAAATGAGTGAACACGTACACACGTATGCGAAAGGGCGGCGCTGGTCGAAGGGACGTCGATCATTGTGTTTGTGGATTCGTTGGAATTCATTTCACCGCGACCTTGGACGTCGACGCGCCGTACAAACCAACCGACGAGCGGCAACTGAGCGAGCGAGCGCCGACCTTGAGTATATATACAGCACGACGGCGCATGCACTGTCAGCTGTTGAATGTTCTCGAAGCGCGACGCCACATGCGCGTCCACTGGAAAATCAGGAGAATTGTAGATGTCGAACGCGGTGTGTAGAGGAGGAAGGGTGCACAGATGGTGGAGGAGTGAAGCGCGCGCGGTGTGTAGAGGAGGAAGGGATGCACAGATAGTGGAAGAGTGGGCGACGGCGCATGCGCGCGCGTCAGCTGTCGAATGTTCGAGAAGCGGTGCGGACGGCGCGGACGGCGCACTACAAGGCGCGAGTATAAGATGCTCCGCATCTAAAAACAGGGCACTATGGAATTACAATAGGTATGATGTTGTGAGAGGGATGTAAGGGGTCATGGTTCCTGGTCTGACGTTCGGCAATGTGGTCTTGTGCATGAGATCAGAAGTTCAAGCAGGATTAGAAATTAAGCAACGTGGAATAGGTAGGCTTGCCTTAGGAGCTCACGGGAATACACCAAATCAGCGAGTACAAGGTGATATGGGATGGACATCATTTGAGGGCAGGGAAGCTAGCAGCAAGATAAAATTTGAGAAGCGATTGAGAGATATGGGGGAGGAGCGTTGGGCTAGGAAGGTATTCAGCTACTTGTACATAAAGAAAGTTTATACAAAATGGAGGAAGCAAACCAGGAAATTGACTGGTAAATACTTAGAAAACAGCAGGGGGCCAAACCAAAAAAGAATTATCGGTTAAGAAGAAGGTGAAGAAAGCTGAGACTGATGTGTGGAGAATTGGCATGATTAAGATGTCCGCACTAGAGATCTATCGAACTTTTAAGCAGGAAATCGCCAAGGAAAGGATGTATGATAATACTCGGGGTAGTTCTCTACTGTTTGAGGCCAGGACGGGAGTATTGAGAACAAAGACGTATCAGGCCAAACACGAAGGGGTAGACACGGTATGCAGTGCGTGTGGAGAGGAGGAAGAAACTGCCGAACACTTGATAATGTTCTGTGAAGGGCTTCACCCTATAGTTCAGGATGATGGCGCGCAGTTTTTCAAAACACTGAGGTTTAGGGACAGGGAGGGCAAAATAGACTTTGAGCGGGTAGAATTAACTAGAAGGAGGTTATCTGATTAGTGGCTAAAGTCAAGGCACGAAAAAAAATTAAACCCTTCTCTGAAAATTACGTGTCCTCAACCTCCCTATTTAAAGGGAAAAAAATAAATCAAGCTTTTCGTTCACTAAGTATTACGGCTTGATGGCGTTAGCCACCACCCGATCTAAAAGGTATAGCCTTATCAATCCATCTATCCATTCATCCGACTAAAAGATGCAAGATGTTATAAACTAGATGGTAGTACTTGTAGTTGTTGATGAAAGGTGCGAGATGTTATAAAATAGGAATGATGTCACATATGGCGCATGTCATTGTTGGAAGGCAAACGTTCTATTTCGTGCGGCGACGTACGCTAGGGGGGGGGGGGGGGGGTAACAAAATCGAGTGGGCAAAATGTACGGAGGATTCATGGTTTACCAGGTTTACCTCCGGAGCTCATCATCATTCACTTGGTGGATATGGCGGCACTTTTTTTTTTTTGCTATGTTATGGCTAAAAAATTGGGGAAGGGAGGGCACGTGCGTTGTGTGCCACCCCGTGGCTATGCCCCTGCCGCGAGCGCATGCAACGTTTCTAGATGCTAGTTCTATAAACGTTGAGCGCATGTTTGACGCACTCGGCTCGCTCCCCCTCCCAAGTGGCGCGCGGGGCCGGAGCACTTGTACCTACTTGCCCCGCCCTAGTTACGTCACTGGTCGTAGTGTGATACAGGTTTTCAAAGATTATTAACGAAGAAAATCCAAAGGGACCATGCTTGTGCTGACTGATCCGCGTTTCGAAGTTTCCGCGTCCCGTGTCGTATGTATGGCTAGTAGAGCAAACAAACGAAGCTAAGGCGAAACCGGGCCATAGTCACTGTCGTAGATCTATCCAAAGCCTCTGTCAATGCCACTGTACGTGTGCTGCCATCTGCGTGCGAAGTGTGCAGGAAGTTTCGCCGGAAAACATCTACACTCGCTCTCCAATCCACGACGTTTCCGTTGCTGTAGGACTCAGCTGACGTGTGTTAAAATGAGTGGGTGATTGCCGCCCGTCTGCCGTTCAAGCATGTGTTTATAAACATTGATACCAATAGCCACCCCGCCGCAAGCTATTGCTACCGGTACGTACCTCCCTCGCAATCGTCATGTTCTTTTCTAAACCTTTTCCCGTGTATTCTCCGGCTGCAGTGACCCAGTTCTCGGCCCACTCGTCCGCAGACATTTGTCTCCGGGTGGGAGACTGGATGCGCGAGTCCTACCGATTGCGATCACCACTGAAACGCCTTGTCTCAAGGCCGTCGATTAATAACGAGCAATGAAGGGCACGGCAAATGGTGGTTGTGTATGACTGTATCAGAGCCTTGATTGTAGCCACGGCTGGCGGTTCCTTGTCGGGACGACCCGAGAGGCCATTGCGAAACCAAAGAAAAGGACCGTCACAGTTGGGCGAGTGCGTGATTGCAACCAGTTTCGACGGCTTGACGACCCCAACCGCGCACTGCGGTTTAGGATCGTGGTTTGTATGGCGAAAAGTTTGTCGCGGAAACTGGTGGTCGTCCCGCGACTTCGTAGTGACGGAATTTTTGTGACACGACACCGCTTCCCGTGTCATTCTGCGTAATTCATTGATAAAAACTTCGTGCTGATGTTGCGGACGAGATAACGGGCATAACGCGCGTGGACAGCCGCTTACTGCGCGTCGTGCGTAGTAGCCACTTCTTTTGGGCCATTTTTGCGCGTGACAAAATGTTCTGTGATGTTCTGTGTCTTTGGAAAGTTTCGCTAGCCTAGGAGGTTGGATTGGTGCATTTGAGTGCCCGAGGCGTTGCACGTAGAAACGTTGACGATTCCAGGGACGAATAGAGAGCGCTTAAACGCGCGACCGAAAAAAAAAAAAGAAGTGAGAAGCCCGCCCGGTCGCACAGAGAAAGAGAGCGAAGTTTCAAAAAAAAAAAAAAAGCAGAGCAAACGCCGTCGCTTCAAAGCAGCTGAGTGCGCAAGCGGACAGGTGTTTGAGGCTCTGAGCGCTACGTCAGCTTAGCTGCAGAGTGTACGCGCGCATTCCGAGGTGGGCTAGCGTTGTTCGTCAGGAAGCGGCAGGCTCGACGGCTCTGTGGACCCGCACGAAAACGTCACTTCGTGTAAGTGACAACGGGATTTCGTTTCGTAAAATCAAACCTCCCGATAAGCAGCCGGTTCTGCCTTCCGCGGTGAGAAGCTTCTTCGGCTGTGTCAACTTTTGTTGGATGTGGGTGGAATGTCGCGACCTTCCGCTTGTTTTCTTTGCAAAACAGCATTCGCGATGCCTGAAACATATGTTCTTCCTTTGGAAGTGGAACGCGTTGCCACTTCTTGCGCACGTTAACAGAGTTGAAAGTCCTTTTGCAGTTTCGATTGTTCCGTCGCTATGACATTTACTTACTAGTGCAACCTTTCTTTCATTCAACTATCAAGCGAAACTGATAGCTATTGTTCTGTATGACGTTTCCGGTGGGGGGGGGGGGGGAGCAAAAACTGCGCTGTTTCTTCGGTGAAATAAGCAGAGTTAATAGAAATCTTGCCGGTTGTCGATAAATGCGTAGGTTTGTTGTTAAATGAACTATATCATAAAATGAATGCTTTGCAGCGCTTTGTTTGTTGTCCGAGGTGGCATTTCAATTCAATGCTTAATACATCAGCACCTGCAGACAGTGTTTGGGTAGTTGTCAGGTGTGGGTTTTGCTACGATATTACTTTGCCAGCTGCCAAGTCTTAGTAGTTCTTAAAGCTTTGGCTTAGCAACTGGCCGGCAGTAGTTAGTGAACTTGGGACATAGTGAAGCAGAAGTGAATGCGAACCGAAATTTGTGGGACATTGGAAACGTCTTTATAGTCACTTCGTTGTAGCCAGTAATTCTTTACATTCAGTGTACATATATATCCAGTCTATAATCTCAGCTGTGATGGACAGGGTGCACGTTAAAGAACCCCAGGTGGTCAAAATTTCCGGAGCCCTCCACTACGGCGTCTCTCATAATCATATGGTGGTTTTGGGACGTTAAACCCCACATATCAATCAATCAAGCTGTGATGGACAGTTCTGTACATAAGCCAACAACTCTGAATCAGCTGCTGAAAAGTGTGTTAAGAGTTGTTTCATTAAAGAAAATTCATGATAAAAGCTAACTAAAGCCATTTAGACTGGCAATCTACTGTTCCCATTTTCTTGTGCTGCCCTCTGCAGTTTTTGGAAAAGGCCACAAGAGCCGGTATCGCTAGAACGAAAGCCTGCTAGACCAGGAGGTGTTTTGAGACTTTTCTGCTGGGGAAAGGGCGCATGTGCTATGGCATCATGAAAAAGGTAGATTGTGAGAATGACAGAGTTCGATGCGGCTTTCTTGCTGGTCAACAATATGTTGCAACTTTTCTGAACCTATTGCGGTGCTGTGCAGACACGTAGTTGTTGGCCTAAATGATGTGAGATTACGCAGTCTCTCAGTGTAAAAAAAAAAAAGCCAGGAAGTTTCAGGTTTCGCGCATGAAAACATGTTCGTATCAATCTCGTAAATGTTTCAGTGACACAACATAATCTGCGTCAGCGGCTTGTGCAACCATGTGTGTCCTTTGTTCAGCCCAAAAGTACAAAAATTACTTTTCCCGAGTCCACCTTGATGCAGCTTTCTATGAAACAGCTGCTGCGGAACAGACACGCTGTCTCCAGATTCTCTGCTGTGCCTTGGTCATGAATAATTATTGTGTTTACAATCCATAATCTTTTCACATAGGCAGCATTTCTTTTTACTGCAGCACTCTTTGTACCCCTGATTTTGTATGCAGAATATGCAAATGAAGTGTACGAGTGTATTTTGTTTGAGCAGTAGTATTGCCATGACTCATCCTCGAGAAGTTATTTGTCACGGCTGAAGGTTAAAGTGAAGAAAGGGCAGCATTCCTCTCAAGTGAGCACTCTTGTCATGAAGCTGCTACGTCAGTGAGGCGTCAATGGATATTGAACATCCCTTGTTTCCACAAGTCTGCAGAGCAAATATGGGGAGGCCACGTCAACGTTTCCTTATCTATCATAGTTTATTGCTCATATAATGTCGTTTAGAAGTGGTGATTCGTTTTATTTAGAAGTGATCGTTAACCTACTGTTTTCATATATTTAGTAGTTTTCTCCCCAAATGCTTATTCTTTTAAATGTCATTACTGATGTCTAACTTTTCATCTCTAACTGCAAAGTATTGCTATGAATAAAAAAGTTTTACAAAGTCAAATTAGCTTAATAAAGTTCTTTGGTAATAACTTAGTGAAAGAAGGTTGGCTACCTGCTAATAATTAATAGTGAAAACCTGAAAAGAATAAAAATGCAGTGAAATTTTGAGCATTTGACAATGATCTTATCATTATAGTAGTTTCAAATGTTTCGAGTATGACAAAAAGCACTTCCGTCAAGCGGACAAGCTGCGCTCGCCCTAAACAGCGAAGCAGTTAAGCCTGCGCTTTTATTTTTTTTATTGTATCTAGTAGAAATTAGAAATGGCTGTCGTGGCTCGTTCAGACATGTTAGCTTGCTTGCTTTTTTTTTTTATTTTCGCAGAACTGTAAAGAAACTCATTCTCAGTTAGACATCATAGTCTGGAAAAGTTCATCTCGTAGTTTGAAGGGGCATGTGTACAGATTATAATTCTGTTACCTGGCCAATGTGCGTATGAGATTTTTTTTTTTTTCAGTGCGTCCAGCTTCGTTGAAAAAAGCACAATTGAAACATTCACTGGACCCTCAAGCCTAAGCTCTATTCATCTATTCATTTTGCACCAATACTATTTAGAATGAATTGCCCTCAGACTGTGGTGGTGTCGTAGTTGCAGTGCTCGGCTGCTGACCTGAAAGATGCATGTTGAAACCAAGTTGCAGAGATTGCATTTTGGTGGACGAAATGTTAGAGACCCATGTGCTTGTTCTAGGTACTCCTCTAATGCTTGACCTTTTTTTTTTACTTTATTACACATAGAGATTGTTACTGCTGATTTTTATTTGCTTTGAGAAAGCAAGGTACTCATGTCCTATAAAAAAAAATAACTCATGCAAGTAGCTTTTATAAATAATAATTATGTGTAAATTTTTCAAAAAATGCAAGTTTTCTTGCAGATATCTCTTAAATAACTTGGGTTACAATGAAAGTAAGACAGGTTGTTGGGCTAATTCAGTCTTATAAGCTGCATGAAAAAAAAAAACACATTATAAACATGGAGTATACACGCACAATGTGCTTGTTGTTGTTATCTTTGCAAAGTTTAAATGTCCTTTGAATCTAGGATGAAAGGCTATATTTTATTTTCATTTTGTAGGTGCCACAATCTTGGTCTATTACAAAAATTATTTTCTTGTTTATGCCGTGACATTAAACTAAAAATAGGGTATAATGTTGAACGCATCGGGGCATCCCTTTTCAGGAATATAAGCCTAGTGTAGTACCGTTTGACTGCTGGTCAGATGCAAAATGGCAACGTTGGCATTAGGCCGAAGTTGATTGCAGCCACACACATCTGCGAAGTAGTCTGTATCTCGTCGAGTGGTCCTTCTGAAACTGCAGGACTATTGTCAGTTCCTCAATTGACTTGTAAATGCTTTTTGAGCAGACTGTAGATGTTCCCCAAGATAAGCATATACGGCACAAAGGTGATACCACATCTTCTGGGCATGTTGCTGTAATGGCTGTAGAGTTGTGTATTTATTCCTACTCAGAACATTTTGCATTGAAGGAACTCCACATTTCTGTACTGCCTGAAAACAGGCTTTTCTATTTAGGAATTTTATGTCGGAATTTATAGTGAATTGGACGTTGCGAGGCTTCAGCTACAGAAGCAAGTTAAATGTGTACTCCAGTTGTCTTGGAACTGCTGTTAACCTAGGTCTTTCATGCACGTTGTGTACAAGGTCTCTGCTTCTGCTGTTGTATCTGTCTAGGTTAGACCGTGTTGCGGTTGGTCCAGCTGCAGCAGTGACATAAAAGATTAAGGCTTAGCCCAGTTTCGTCTTGCATAAAAGAGAAGCAGTCTGGAGCTTTTTTTTTTTTTTTTTCACTTTCAGATCAGACAGGCGTGCCTGATAACCTTCACGAAATTTGGGTGCACTGTCTGAGGAAACAGTTTGCTTGTCATAAATGAGAAAGCCTATAATACTGTACTTTTTGGGAGATTATAGGAAAAAAACCAATTTCTGTCACTGAAGTTCTGGGTTGGTGCCCATGACATTTGACAATATTGGGTGCTCACAACCTGTCTCTACAATAATGCCATCTTGACAAATCTCTAAACCTAAAAAGCAGCTTGATTGAATATGAACACATTTATCACAACCTTTTTTTTTTTTCATGGAAATGTATTGCATGCATTTCTTAAAAAAGATGCAGATAAATTGTTTGCCTTTATTGTTGACTGCAAGGGATGTGTTCCTGCTTAAAGCATGTTTTTAATAACTATCTCACAGGATTCCTTCATAGCTACTTCAGTGCAACCCTATGTCTGTGCACAATTAGCTCAGTTCAACCCCTTTGATCTCTGGCTACTGCATTTTGTAGAAACATGCAGCACTTTGCATGAAATGATGCTGTTCTAAACTTTTATGGCATACAGCATTCCATAGTAACCCGTTTATGTTCAACATAGGGTAACCCGAAACTGGCATTTGCTCAAAGCAATAAAGTAGGAGAGTTTATGAGTTTGTGTACCTTGCCTCAGTGGCAAGATAACGTACTGCTCTTACAAGTAGCATTTGCCCTCTTTCAGGTAGCAGGTTGCAGGTTGCACCAGACCAAAGTTCCAACTTCACGCAAGTGCCGCTAAGGTATCTGCAAGCATGGATGACGGATTCGATCCGTGCGAGTGCATCTTCAGCCATGATGCTGCCATGCAGCGACTCATCTCGTTGGTGAGTGAGTCACTTCATGTAGCAAGGACGTTGATTTAAGTCCGTAGCTTTTGGCTTAATTACATTGTGATATCAATTATGCAGGTGTGCTATTCCAGTGATGTGCAGCATTAAGTGTTGCATGCATAGCCCATGTTCATTGGTTTTGAAGATCTCCACATAGTATGTGCAATGCCCAGCTCATTTGGCTATGAAAGCAACCTAGCCAGCTGGAGTAACACTTTGAGGTTAAGCCTTCTGCTGCATGACCAATGAACACACACACGCACATCAGCATGCCCGCTTATTGGCTTTATGCATTTCACACCAGGGTAAACAAGTTTGTCCAAGTGGAATTGACCGTGAATGTCAGCGTCAAGTTAGAAATGTTACGTCCTTTTATTTGGTGCTGGTAAACACTACAGTTTTCCACCTATCCTGTTTTAAGCATAATGCAAAGTTTTTGACACCGCCGTTGGCAGTCCTCCTGATGCCAGCATTGCGAGGTGTCTGGTCACTCCCGTGGCGCTCCATGCACTGTACTGCAATGGTTGCTTTGCGTACTGTCACTGCAAGGTGTCGTTCCCTCCTCTTGTTACAGTTATCTGAGAAGTGTACAAGTAAACCTCGTCACTTTTCATGTGATGCATTTTTTCTTTTTAATGGCAGTATGTTTAATTTGTTCAAACATTTGAAAATGAGGTTGTTTGAAGACGAATAATGTATTGAAGATTCATTTTCCTCATACGCCATGTTGCCTCATTACAGAAAATAGGAAAGCTATAGCACCTTAGTATTTTCAACATTGCACATCTTGACATGTCTGTCATGCCTGATCCATTGCCTGTCAAAGCCAAGCTCATCCATCAAAACACTGTCAGTTTCTGAAGCTTACTTGTTGATTACCCGATCAATCTCAGCCCATTCTTATTCAACTGACGTTTATCTGTATGCCCTCATCCTCTGTAGTATTCTTTGCTTTTCTAACATTAATGGATCTAATTGTGATACAAAACTTGGTAAGTAAGTGTAGACCAGTATGATGACAGAGGTTCATTTAGTGCAAACTGTCTCTCCTTTGATACTATGACTTCACGCTCATTATTCTGCGTGCTTTCGTAACTGCTTCAGCTGACTGGTTACCTTTTTTTTTTGCAGCTGCGAAGCTCTCAGTCCGCCTGCACGGACTCTCAGTGTCTACAAGAGAGTAAGTGGCCTATCTCTTGCAACAGACTTTACACAGTTTTATATATTAATCCACCCAGTTGCTCCCACAAGGAAGCTAACAATGAGTTCCTGTCGTTGTGTTAGGATTTTACACAGGTTTATTATCACCTCTTTCTCCGAAACAAGAATAAACTTAAGATTGATTTTTATTATTCAGAAATGACACAATTGCTAAAGTGCTGGTGATATTACGTTAACTCTTGCAGCCGCATACCACGGTGGCTGCCGTTTCGAAGGAATCACTCAGTTGCTTTCTGTTGAGCTAACTTGATGCGTTGCACAACATGGAGGCAAACAAGGATGGTCATGCATAAAGGAGTGAATTCATAAGCACAAACAAATCAAAGGCCACCACCCCTAATTTGGCTGTGCTTATAAATTTGCTCGGCACAAGGTCCTTGGTCATCGTGTAGGGCATGAAAATGCTAACAACCAGGCACATCTCTCTGCTGTAGCACGTTATGTGGCTCGGAATGAAGATACTTGTGGTGGAAATTAGCATTCAGTGCGTGCACTGTTTATGAGGGTATGTATGTGCCAAAATGTACCTGTGCAGGCTTTTCTGAAAAACACCAGGTAAATATAATGTGCAAAAGCCTGGTCTAGGTTGTTATTGACTCTAGGGAAAGTACATCCGTTAAGCCTTTAATTATTATTAGTTGCACACCTATGTCAATAAAACATCTTGCGCATTCTATATAAACACATTGAATATACCGGGGTAATGTTCAATCAGACTTGTTATTCTCTCATCGCACAACATTTTCCTCGAGTGCTGATGATAGCCAGCCATTGCTTTTGTTCCCGTGTTCTAGAATCGATCTGTGTGTGGACTACCAGGCATTGGTGGCTTGTGCAAAGCAGTCGGCAATATGTACCAAAAGCTTTAGTTTACCATAGTTCTCCGTTGTAGATAGCTTCCAGTTACAGCTAGCGTAACAAGTGTTGTGAACAAGCAGTGCTTTGACAACTTTTTTGTGAAGAACTTACTTATAAGAAAGTTTTTAGTCCTGAAGATTTATTGTAGTAGAAATAAATATTTACTCATACTTTTTGTGTCACACAGTTAATGATTTGTTATTTTTTAAAATTGGCAGGCTGTTTGTTTACAGAAATTGCTTTTGGGAATGTACTGAACTGTCACTCTAATAGACTATGCTCAAACCTCGATATAACAGACCTGGATATAATTAAATATCGGTTATTACAAAGTAAATAAAGTAGTACTGCAATAGATGTAGTGTTGGGAATATACTTTTATTACAAATTTTCAGATACAACGAACTTATTTTTGTGTAAGATGCAATGTTTTTATATTGAGGTTTGAGATGCGACGAGTGCACATTTCAAGCCATCTGCTTATAGGCTAGTGGCTTCTAACATTGGCATTCACACTGGGAATTAAATGTGGTTGTCCTTTCTCACCATGGTTGTTTTGGGTGTCTGTCTGGCCCAGGAGCAATCTCTCCCACGTGGGTCCAAGATTGTGCGTTTTGCTTTCCCACAGTGCCGTCCATGCAGCAGGCTGCCAGCGGCTCTGGCTTCTTTCTGGTCATGGTAGGGTGGATGCTGCTGGCCATGGCGCTGTACTACTTGCGCCCTAACTCGCTGAGGAACCGCGGCGACAGCAAGCCTGACCGGCAGGTGGGGGTCGACGATGAAGAAAAGCTTTGTAGTCGTCGGACAGGCTCTGTTTGATAGGGCAGTGGCATATGGGACACCCTAGAGGGAAAACACTAGTGCTTTGGTGGGTCAGTTATTTAAAGGGACATTAAAAAGTGACAATTACTTTGTTTAGATTGACAAACTGTGCACCAAGAACTCTAATGCCATAAGTTTCACTGTCATAGGTTAATTATTAACAGAGAAAATCAAGATTGACGTTTCATTTTTATATTTTGCACTGAAATCTTTGTGCGTGACGTAAAAAATTTCAAAATGTATTTTCGGTATTTCTGTGGCATTTGCTTTATGAAATTTTCTGAAACTTTTTATTCTAAGTCTATGGCACCCACAGATAAAATGCACTTCATTTTTATTGACTGGAAGCTACGTAGGACCCAGTAGATGCCTTGAAAGTTTCTTAAGTCATGGTGTTTGGTGCGGGAATCTCAAAGTGGCATCTCCACCCACATTTTTTTTCTCGCGGGTTTTCACAACATGGCCAGTGCACCGCAAGCTTGCAACAATCGCCTTTTAAATCTACCTCAGCAAGAGCAATTCACGCGAAAGCAACACTCCCATCTGTTGCTAGTTATGAAGCTGCAACCAGTTATTACAAGATGAGGACAGGAGCTGATTAATGCAATGCAGCTACAGCATAGTAAAAGGTGAGCAAGAGCGGAGCTTCCAGAAGAAACAGGTTAACCTGGCAATCAGTGTAATGACAGTAGTCTTGTAAAAGCTTGTGCTGCATGCAGATAACTTCGGGGAGCTTTTGCTGTTCCTAAGTTTCATTATTTTTGGGGGTTCTCCCATCAGTACTGATTATTCGACAGCTATTTGAAAAATATTCAGTATTTCAAATATTTTTGAATATTTGCTATTCAAGTATTTAAACGAATATAGCACTATTCCATAAGTTATTTGAAATTTTTGAAGATTCTAACAGCCCTATTTAAAACCAAATTAAAATGTCTTATAGGTAACACTGGTCTCTAATAATTGGTCAGAGGTGGTGCTGGACTCTGAAACAACATAAGCATCTTGAGTTTCCAAATTTCGTGTCGGGGGTTCGGTCCCTTAATGGTGGCACTCTAATCGTGGGTGTCCCTTGGCATTCTTACCATTGTTCTTACCTTTCTGCAACATGCATGGCTTCACAAGGTGTGAACACAGGTATTTATCCAGAACTCTAATTAAATTTTATGTTGCAGATTTGTCCAAGGAAGGACTCACCGGCATTGTTGGTTGCTAGATGTGACCACTTTTTTCTTTAGTGACTTCAACATGGTAGCATGTTTCTGCGAATCATTTTGAAATTTGTGCATATCACCTGTAAGAAGCTGACCACATTAAGGGCTGGCACATACAAGCAACTTAATGTTCACCACCGTAATTACATTGCATGCTCTGTGCCAGCACCTAGCAACCGTGCAGAGAAATATATTGAAGTAAATCATAGTACATAGTTGAATGCACAATGATTTAAGAACATGACTAAGAATGGGAACAATTTTTTTTTCTCTAAGTAGAAATGTTTCTCGTTGGAAAATGAGAAACTTCATTTTGCAGTATATTTATCTTGAGCAAATAATGACAAACAAGCCACTACAACATTTTTTTTTGTCTGTTTACTGATTACTTATTGGGTACTGTCCCGTTCTCACAAAATTTATGCAGTGCCCACATAATCATGTTGCAATGGCCAAACACATCCTATTCCAAACAAGAGTCTCCAATCTTGCTCTAAGCGACTTCTCGTAGCAAGAGTGGTGTTTTAAGCATTGTGGAAAAATAATTGACCGATGCCCATAAAACAGTTTTTCTCTTTAGCTACCTGTCGCTGTTGCAGAACAGTGCGACATTGAGCATGCTATCTCATAGATTCAGAAAAGAGTTTTTTTAATTTTTCTTTGCCATCAAGTGTGGAGACTAAGTGAAGATGCGTGCATTTTGTGGCCATCACAGATGTTCCTGTACTAAAACCCACGTGAACAATCTGTGCAGGGCCCAAACAACGAGCCTCCCAGCGGCTCGGTCTTCTGAGGGACAACCCCGGAGCCCAGCCCAGCCCCTAATGGAAAATGACCAAGAGCTCTTAGTTGGCGGCACGGGGGAAAGGAACACCGTTGTACTAATAACTATTCTGGGCTTCTTTTTTGGGGGAAAACCACCACCATTACCGCCACTCGCAATACCTGTCAAGTATGTGTACATAAAGTGTACATAATACGCATGCACTACTCTTACGGGGCACTGGTGAAAAATGTACCCGGAAAAGCTATGGACCACGGTATGCACACAATGAGAAACTGCATGCGCAAGACTGTTGTTGCAAAACCACGCGCTTGTGTATATACTACGCTGCACGTCTTTCGCACAGCAGGCATAGTCTTATAGAATTTAGCAGAGAAGTGTCTTACCCCCCCCCCCCTTTTTTTTTTGTTACGCCAGGTTGGAATGATATGCACATTTTTGTTGCCTCATCCTTTTTTCTCTCTCTCTCATTTAACTTTGGGATCCGTTCACTTGTTTTGTTCAAGCCTTGCACTAGATTTGTTTTAATATAAGTGACTGTACAGTGGACTGCGTTCTTTCGCCCTGTGCCCAAGTGACCCATGTATGAAGATAAAGACTCGTTTTGGATCATTTGCAAAATAAAATTTGTGGCTGGATGACAACGTTCAAATTTTGTCACTTTCTTTTGACTACTGGTCTATGTTGCAATGCGACTCCATTTTAACCAATCGCAATGTATTGCCAGTCTTATCATCGCAAGTGCAGTGGTGGGAATGCCTTCCAGCATTTTGGAGCAGCCATTGAAGCAGGCAAAATCTGCTTTTGAAGCAGCTACGTCAGTGTTTAAAGCAGGCACAGGCTTTTCATGATACACACAGAAAAAGAAACTTTGGCTTTAATGTAGTGTAAATGTTCCCTCAGTTTACATAATCATCAATACACAGAAGCAGCAAGCCCACAAAATAAGATTATGTACAGAAGCAGTGACACACTATAGTGAAAGATATTGCACCAACAAGCTAGCTGCAGCATAAAGTTCATAGCAGTGCGCACACAAAAGAATTAACACACAGTTGCATTCAAAGCTCGCTACAGTAAAACCTCGTTATTACGTACATACATGCCGAGAACCAGCTGGTAACGTGGCCAACTACGCACTAAACGTTGAATGCATTAACCACAAGGAACATAAGCGTGCACAGGGTTCTCTTTCAAGGGGGGAGCAGAAGTTTATCGCACCACTGTGCCCCCCCCCCTCCTCATTATGTCAATGTAGGGCTAACTTCGGAGCTAACTAAGGAGCTGTAACTAAAAGTCGCACAGTAATAATGTAGGCTTAGTGGGGCATCCTTAAATCTCGGAGGACCTATATTCTGTGTTTGTGAGTTGTTGCATATCTTCCATAAGTGGTGCCACTTGACCATGCGGCAGTGGCGATCCATGCTATTCGGCACTACCAAACAGACTAAAAATGCTTTGAAGTCCCATGGCACAGTTTCAAAGGTGGGCATTTCTTTTTCGCTGGTCGTTGACACTCCAGGCACGTTGACTGGCAATCGGCGACACGCTCTGTCAATTTGCGACGGGCTTAAGCAAGTCGCCTGCAAAAGAAGGACGCGGCTTCGCCGCCTAATTATGGTTGCTAACCAGGCAAGATACGGCGGTCCTATGCGCTACTCTGCTCCCCTAGGGAGCATATACAGTTACTCTAGCAGCGTCCGTCACTCTGTGCCATCTTCCTATTTAAATGTTTCCCTCGTAGGTTGGTTTCACCACAATGCTAATCGAAAATCGCTCGAAAAAGTCGAAGGCTTTATCACCCATGATAAGGCTCAACTTTTGTCTGACGTCACACATTGCAGCGACGGTCACTCAGTGCCCTCTTCTAAGCTAAGTATATCCCTGATAAGTTGGCTTCACCGCAATACACGTTGAAAACTGCTCGAACTTTATATCACCCATTGGTAAGGCTCAACTTTTGTCTGGCGTCACACTAACAGCATCTAGAGTCACTGTATGGCGGACGAGCGCTGGATAAGTGGCGTGCCCAAAAGGAGCACCTGGCGGAGAGTCGCGACACAACTAAGCTGCTCGCGTGCTTCATTTTGGAACAAACAGCTCGAAAATCCATTGCGCCAGTAATGCTGCGCTGTGGTTTAAAAAATAACTTTGTCCGAAGGCTACTCTCACTTGAAAAGCACAAAAAAATGAAGAGAAGCCCTACAAAGCGGACTGCGTCTATACATATGATATCAAGCTCTGCCGTCATGGCAACTCCGTCGTCCTCATTTTCTGGTCGCGTGCTGGGTTTTGAGCTAATTCTCGCGCTGGCTAACACGCCCCCGTTGACAATTGCATGCTGCGACGATACCACGCTGCCAACATCTGCAGTAAAACAAAGCACAAACAAACGAAGAATAAGTGGTAACTGCCTCATTTTTTTTTTCTGGCATCGTTTGCACGCCCTGTCCACGGTATGTATGCACGGGGACGTTGATCAAGCAAACCACCGTGGCAGCATAAAACGTGTGGCGTCGCGCTGCTATTCTTGAGGGCGCGGGATAGATTATCGACAACGGCAGCCGCACTTCGATGGGGGTGAAATGCAAAAAGAACACCCGGGAACCAAGATATATGTGCGGATTGGAGAACCCCAAGTGGTCACAATCTAATCACCCCTACCGTGTCCAAAAATTGGCATTATATCCACGGAGTGAATGATGGACAGCGGGGCGAAGCATTCGTCCGTCCATTCGTTCTTGCTTCCGTCCCTCTATGCGTCCGTCTGTGTGACCGCCAATCTGCCCGTCCGTGCGTGCATCTGTTCGTGCGTCCGTCTCTGCGTTCGTCCATGCATACGCCCCTGCGCCGTTCATGCGTCCATCCATGCATCTGTCTGTGCGTCCATTCGTCTATCTATTCAACACTCCAAGTACCACCATCTCGCATCTTTTCATCATATATTCCCCATATAGAAGCACCGCCATCCAGCGGACATTCCAAGGACTAAACGAGAGGTGGCACACGCACACTTTCTTACGGCTTGCGCTTCGGGTCTACTTCCCGCCTTTAACCACCTCGAGTTCATGGTATATACTAGTTCACTGTATTCATGGCATTGTGGCACAACGCTCGCTAAATCTTTCTAAAACCAAGGAGGTTACGCCCAGCGAGTATAACGTAGCAACATTTTCTTGTCAGATAGTGCTCAATGTACATGTCAATGGCTGCTAATGGGAAATGATAGACAGGAGAATTCGGCTTTTACTTTCTTACGGATTGCGCTTCGCATCTACTTCCCACCTTTAACCAGCTAGAGTTCATTGATGGTATATACTAGTTCATTGTATTCATGGCACTGCGGCTCAACGCTCGCTAAACCTTTCTAAAATTAAGGAGGTTACACTCGGCGAGTATAACGTAGCGACCCTTTCTTGTCAGATAAAGCTCAATGTACATGTCGATGACTGCTAATGGGGATCGCAGCGTGCGCGTTAACTAAAAGCCGAATGCTCCTGTCTATCATTCCCCATTAGCAGCTATTGGCATGTACATTGAAGCACTATTTTTTATTGTTCAACAACGCACAGAAGAAATCTCTCACCGGCACCATCTCAGAGGTCAAAATGTTATACTTGTTACACACTACTACAACGGCTACGAGGGACGAACGGGTGCCGCTATAAGGAGCTTCGCATCTAAAAAGCTAGAAACTCGGCTAACGTGGTTGCTTGGGCGAGTTTGTACGACATGATTCACATAAAAAACAGCGCCAATAACGAGGTACAAGAGAAAGAACGAGACAGGCTCAGGCCTCGGGTAGTGTAGTTCGCCCCTCTCTTGTGCTCGCAGCAGCGTGTACAGCTGATGCTGCTTGTTGTTGGTCGTCAGCAGCGCAGCGCAAGAGGCGCATCCGAGGTCTGTAAGCTTGGCGGTGTAACCGCCGAGGCATGCTAAGCCGGAGAAGGTGACAGATGGAGACGGAGAAGCCTCGTACTTCAACAAAGACCTCAGGTCCTTATCAAGTATATTAGATATCATCTCAGTCTCTTCCTCAACTTCCACATTTGATAACTTGATTTCTTTCGGTCCTGAGATGTGCAACTTAACGATGTGGCTCTAGAATCCAGCATGTCATTCCCGCCGCACATTGACCACACTCTTCCGAAGATTGCTTCTATGGGGTCACTGTCCAATTTCTTTGTCAGGACATAACTGACGCCTTGCTCCAGGAGGAATTCTGTTGTTTCCACCGTCGACCTTGTTAAAAGCAAGGCTTCGTACGTCTCGTTGGTGAAGCCAGCACTCACTGATTCGATGGAACTCTTCTGTATTTTTTCCACATGTCAGGTAAACTTTTCCTTCAGCCGCAGTAGGCGAATCGCTCATTAAAATGGAACCTTTGTGACCGCTTCCATTGAATGAAGTGTCATGTATGTCAAACCATTCCTTCGTGGACTTCATGAAGAAAATGGTTGAACTTGCTCCCTTGAAATCTCTGGCAGCATCCGTGGAATTTCGCTGAAGGTGCCTCTATGGCTGCAGACACTTGAGGGGCGAAAACTTGAACTGGTCGCAGCATATTCATATTTTTTTTCCAAATTGGAAGGGTAGACATGTTTCCTCGTCAAATTTCGGGCCAGCTTCACAGTCTTGTGTTTTTGATGCTCGTATAACTTGTGCACAAACGCGCCGCTAATGACGTGCCATCTGTAAGTTCACGTTCGAGGAACTGGTTTCTAACGTTTTGGAGCACGTGGCACGGGTCAAAACTCAGAAAGATAACGTGGTTGTACTTCGTGTGGATGACGTACAAGTGTGTTGAGGTTGCACTTTACACATGTGCTTAAACATCGTCACGCTTGCTGAATAATTATCCGTGACAATGCGAATGATGATAACGCCACATGATTCTTCAGCAGCAATGACCTCGTTCGTCCTATGCAAAGAGGTCTATAACGCTCAGTTGCTTCATGAAGTAGTACGAGCATGGAATCTGTACCGACTAGTGGAACCATGCAGCACAAAACAGAGGACTCTGTTCGCAAGGGCTTCTTTCGCTGTATTCGCCATGCTACTCTCTGGCTTGTCTTTGTGGCTGAAGACTGCATCATCCTTCCTATCATAGATTCACTTTTGTTTTGTGCTAGCTTCATCTACTATTAATGAGGTCATATGTTGTTTGCTGCTGAGTGAACCAGACGGTCCTTAATAGCATTGCTCATACCCGATGACGTTTGAACCTATATACCTCTCAAGAGTGCACTTTGCTAACAGTGTCAGGATCCCCGAAGTGAGAGCATGTCAGGATCCCGAGTGAGACCTTTTGGGGACAGAAAGCGCCATGTGACACACTCCCTAACAACTTCTTCTGGGTACGCCGAATGCTTATCTTCGTAACAATCTATTTGATGCAAAATAAACACAGCCTTTTCCCCTCCTTTCTGTACATCTGTTGCGATTTTCTTAACACACGCGTGATGCTTGCTTTCATGATTATATGCGGATGCCTTTTCTTCTTCTTTCGGCAACTGCTGCACCTTCTCACATTTCGAAGGATAGTACGACACTTGTGAGCTTAATCTTCCTATCATAGCCAGGTATCGACTCGCGCGATGAGCATTGTTGCTCATTGTTTGCGTACAAACACTTACTGCTTCTTGTCCAGTG